ATAGCTGCTTATGTGATGATAACATCCAGACTGATTTGTAGCTTTATTGTATTGAGTTGTGTGTATACTTTAATAAATTATATTCATGAGAAGTTAATTTAGAACTGTTTAAGAGAGGGCCTCTTTGAAGTTGGTTGCTGAGCTGATTGCTGACTTTATGTATGAATTGATAAAATGCTTGGTAATCAGATAACATAGTAGCATTTGTTATTGTGGATGCGGATTAGTTGGGCAGAGACGCGCACGGAGCATACATCGTTGATAAGCCTGTCTTGTTGCTCACTTGTTCTGCTATCTGTTTGTACTGTCTTAATTGTCAGAGTAGGAGGTATTTAGGTGTCGATGAGAGTGAGACTCTAGATGATTATGGATGTTGTTAATCATTCATTAACAGTCACAGCGAATAGCTTTTAATTCATTTTAGTAACTAAAAAGTGGTATGTTACGAGGGTCTTATATGATGTAGAATTTGCATTATGTGGTGAAACAGGTCTTATAATTAAAAGGGTCTTTGTAATTAGATGACCTTCGATAGAGATATGCTCTATAATCGAACTTGTGAGCTAATTAGTCGCTTTGAACGAAAAATAGGAATTTTTCTATTGATAGTCATGCAATCCAGTTTTGATTTGTTTTTGTAAGACAAATTGATGCTTTGGTATAATTTAGGATTAGTATTGTGGCCAAATGATGCGAACATTGAATAAGAAATAGACACTTAGTTTATAATGAAAGAAATCATATGAGCTCAAATATGATTGACTTATAATTTCGTCGCTTTTTCTGAGAAAATTGTATAATAATAAACATCAGTGTGATTGTTTCTGATCCTTCGTATTTCAGGATACATAAAAAAAGAATTAAAAAGAAACAATTAGATTAAGTTGATTATGAAAAACTGCCCAATGTGGATTTCATAGTAAGCCTGAATTTGCATCAGATACCGCAGAAATGCTAGCAATTGTTATTTTATGTGAGTGATCAGCCAAATAAAGTTATATACGATGATTATGTGCACCAGTAATATACATATTACTCATAGAATCTAGCATGAGACAAACAGATCCATTTAACATTGTGTTTGATTTACCACTTAATCTATTAGAACTATCAGCAGCAATTGCCCAATTACTACCACCTCATACCCAACGCATGACATTGTACGCTCCATAATTTATAGCAAGAAGACTATTTATCAATGCATCAAACTAGATTCTAATAGGCAAGCTCGGTTGTGTACTGTTTGTTCCAGCACCTTGTATTCGTCAACGATCAATGTACCTGATGTTTAATTGGTTAGATAACACATAATTCAATGATTGCTTGTAGCTGTGATATAGAATATATCTGTGTTCGGATCACGTGTATTAGCACAAGAATTGTAGAAGAGATTGTTTGTGGATACAAGCAGACTTATATTAAATCTTCCACTCAAATTCGTTCATTTTCGTAACTATACTATTAAGTCGATAACAAAGTTTTTGCCTTTTTTCTAAAAAATATATTTTTATTTTTAGTTTTAGTTTTAGTTTTAGTTTTCAACTTCAAAACTACAGCTAGCTTTCAATTATATATGCACCACTACTATCTATGACTTGTCGCTAACGCTCTGACAGGAATAGATTCCCACGTTTGTAGAAGTCCTGGAACTTTTCACCAAAGAAGTTGATGAGTTCCACTTGGACGTCGTTCTCATTGTCGAACTTTTTCTCATGCAGATGGTTAGAAAGAGAACGAAATAAATAATAGTCCTCTGGAGCCAAGTCGGGAGAGTAAGGTGGATGAGGAACGGTAATCCATTCAAGCATCAATAGTTTGAGGGTGTGGATATGACATGATATAGTTACTAACACCCATATCCACACCCAACCACACCCACACCCCACCCACACCCTCTGTTTGAGAATATTAGTATGGTTTATGACTCGACGGGAGATTATGCGAAAGCACTCTCATATTGTGAAAGAGCCTTAGAAATCAAACAGAAATGTTTGCTACCTAATCATCCTGATCTAGGAAACTCCTATAGCAAGCTTGCTTCGCTCTATCGATCAATGGGACAGTATAAGAAGGCACTTTTCTATTACGAAAAGACGCTCGAAATTAGACAGTTATGTCATTCTCCTGATCATCCCAGCTTAGCAGACACCTATGAAGGTATTGCTGTGTTGCACTACTCCATGGGACAATATGTGGACTCACTTATTAATTATCAGAAAGCCATGGAAACGTATCGGAAAACTTTTCCATCTGATCATGCAAAGTTGGCATCTGTCTATCATGGTATGGCCTTGGCGCTCTATTCTGTGGGCGAATATTCTACAGCACAATCCTCCTACCAAAAAGCTCTCGAAATTCAAGAGAAATTTCTTCCATCTAATCATCCCGATGTAGCAACTACCTACTGTAACATTGCTTTGTTGCATCGATCATTAGGAGAATATTCAAAGGCACTTTTCTACTATAACAAGTCGCTTGAAATTCGACAAAAATGCTTTGCAGCGGATCATCCAGACTTGGCAGCAACCTATAACGGTATTGCGCAGGTATATCGTTCTATGGAGGAATACTGCAGTGCACTTTCATATTTTCAAAAGACACTTGAAATTCAGCAAAAATGTCTTCCATCAGATCATCCAGCTTTGGCTTTCACTTACTACGGCCTTGGTACTGTATATTACGCGATAAAAGATAATTCGACAGCACTTTGCTTTTATCAAAAAGCACTTGAGATCTTCACCAATTGTTTTCCATCAAACCATGCTCATACGGTTACCACGTATGGAAATATTGCATTGGCGCATGAATCAATGGGAGAGTATATGAAAGCTGCTTCTTATTATGAAATGGTACTTGAAGGAAAACGGAAGAGTCTTTCAGCCAATCATCCTTTGCTAGCTAAGGACTACAATAAGATCGGTTCAATGCATTTTCTCGTTGAAGACTATGGTGAAGCATTATCATACTATGAGATGACTTTCGAAATTCTAGTTAAAGCATTGCCTTCTGGTTATCCATTATTGGCTATTCCATACAGAAATATTGCCGATGTTTATCGAGCTATGAGACAATATTCTTGCGCACTATCATACTATAAGAAAGTACTTGATAGCATACAGACCGTGCCTTCCTTCTATTTTCCATGGCAACTAACTGTTCGTAAAAATGTGATTGAGATGTCGGAAAAACTAAATCAATATGACGATACTGTTAATTAGAGTGGGTATGGTAGCGGTTTGATTGTGCGTCTTTCTTCACTTACTCACTCTCAATCGTGAATAGATACTCAATATAAGATTTTTAGAGAGCATCATCGAAGCTTTCAATCAGAACATTTTGTCAAATGCATTATTTACTTTATCTCTATAAAGAGTTACTTTTTCAGTATTTTATTAATCTCTTTTTCATTTTTCTGAAGGTTTGATCAGAGAACTGTATTTAATCAACAGATCTACTCTCACACACTCGGAGGTGTGAGTGTAGTTCTTTTGCTTGTCCACACCCACACCCTGGTGGATTTTGAGTATCAATATCGATCCGAGTTGAATTATTCTTGGTTTCAGTAGCAACCATTAGATGAATATGATGAAAGAAAACAAAGAACTGTTTGTTTAAGAAAATATTTTCAGAAAATCTTAAATTACATGAATGATCAACAGCGAGATAACAATCACGAATGTTTGATCTACATGAGTAGCACATATCTTTCTTTTATTATCCAGTTCAGTGTAATAAAAGTCTACAGAACAAGCGATATAATAGTATGCTTTTTCTGATCTCATATCACGATCATTCTTTTATACATATTAGTTTATGTTTATATAACTGCCAATCCATAGTTTGACATTCATTTGTGCAATAACGTGCTTGTTTACAATTAGTGCAAATATATGGTGCACTTGCTGCTCCACAGCATCGGCACATATTAACTACATATTCTGAGTCACTTTGCATCATAATTGATGAGAATTCATCAATACGAATTACTGGTTTCCCGTCACTTGCACCTATTCGTAGATATGGATTGATAATATTCATTTTACTTCCAATTCGAAATACTTTTTTTATTAAATATTCTCCTTGATCTTTAGGAAAACCATAGATACATAATTTTTTGTAATCGAGACGTTCATCTTCTATCATTAATTGAATTGATGGTGCCCATGAATATGCTTCTCCGATAATTGTCACAGACAATACATATTGTTCATAGACATGATCTTTTACTGGATGCATATCTCGAAATGTAATTGATTTTAATCCAGCTAAGGATTTAGCTATTCGTTGAGAAACTCGGGCTTGATAAGTAAAAGGTATTGAAATAAGACCTGGTTTGTTTTTCGCTTTTAACAACTGATTTTGCCATTGACGTTGTTCTACTATAACTTCAATTCGAGCTGGATCTTTTAGTCGTGCTTTATTATCAATACCAAGAGTAGATAGTTTTATTTTGAACGAACATATCAAATCAATCTGAAGTTTAATGGGAGTTTTAATGCTTGGATCATAAGGTAAAAAGCATGGTAATTGCAGTTTTTCTGCTTCTTCGCCCATTCGATACATTTTTGTAGCATTTTCTAAACTTGGGTCGTTTTCGCTCATAAGATAGCACATAGCCATTGCATAATATGAATCAGGTACTTTTCGGTGGTCTTTAGGTGCAACAGCGAGAAATGCGCGATATGCTTCGATCGCTTCATCCATATCCTTTCCGAGTAAACGTAATGCACCAGCTTTATCATACAATAACTGACAATAGTTTGGATCTATTTGTAATCC